GCTTGTTTTTCTCTCAACAGAGGACACAGGCTGGAGGGAAGGAGGAGGTGAGGCTGAGAGGAGGGGAGCAAATGTCTGTCTGATAGTGTGCTGGGATCTTCCTGGGCAGACCTTTCTGTAACCTTCCTTCCCTTACTCCCTCCCTTCCTCCTTCTCTCTGTAAGCTAGCTCCCCTTGTCTTTATGTTGACTAGTTAGGTCATTCTTGCAATAATCCCTGGGAATCTAACATATGTCTAGCTCTGTGCTAACAATGCACAGACCTTGACCCCAAAGTAGCCCATAGCTTGTTTTAAGAGAAATTCATCTGCAAAACACTTTGCTCAAATTATCAAAGTGCTTAATGCGATAGTTTGGATGCAAAATATTGCCCCAAGGCCAGGTGTTTAAGATTTAGTCTTCATCCTAGAATTTTGTTGGAGCCAAGTAGAAAGAACCTTCCTCTTCTATTTTTCTCCCCGTGACCTCAAGGTAGCAGCTTCCTCTAACACAGCTTGATATATTGCCTTGCCACTGGTCCAGAAGCAATGGGCCCACCAAACACAGATGGAAATTTCTAAAACGATGAGTCAAAATAAACCAGTTTTGATGTTGGTTATCTCAGGAATTTTGTCACAGTAACAGAAAGCTGACTAACACACTTAAGAAAGAGCTTAATCTGCTATTTATTAACAAGGTGGGATAGGTGTTGGCATAGAACTATCTTTCTGAGCATCAAATTTTCTCATCTGGAAAATGTTAATACCAGTAATACCACTTTTTAGGGTTCTTATGAACTTTGATGGAGATAGTGGTTGTAAGGCACTTAGCTGGTGGGCAGGAAGTACAAAGACATGGATGGCTCTGTAACACTGCATCCAATGGCTTGTCCAAAGAAAGACAAGGAGACATCCTTAAATAGAAAGAGGATTAAGGGGAGAGTGAGGACTTAGAAACAGAGAGCCTGGCTTCAACTCAAGCTCTGCTGCTGGTAAGTTGAATGACTCTGAGCGAGTTGTTCTGACTTTCACCTCCTTCCTCTCTGAAATAATCACTCACCTCCCATCCCTGCCTCCATCATCATCCCAAATGATTCAGGTAGTGATGTCAGCTGGGTTCTGAGCTGAGGACCAAGGTGTGTCGTGTGTAGGGGGTTGGACATAATGGGACATGGGAATGTTTTAATACCATTAATTTGGGTGGTTTCCTGGGATGGAAGGCCACACCAATGAGGCTGGATTTAGGAAGAACTGTCTGAGATATGACTAGAAGATAAGTTGCTGGGAATCAGGGACCTTAGTAAACACTTGTATAAATCTGACTTCAGTTTCAGTGAACCTCATGGAAGTATTTCATTAACTGGCCAGCTCATATTTCAATAGAAATCATATTGACTTAAGCTGCCTTCATTAAATCCTGATCTTGGTGATGAACAGAAGGAAACTCATCTCAGGGAAGAGAGAGTCCTCCTTCCTTCTAAGGAGATGGTGGTTCAAAGGTCATTTAGGATGTGTCTGATGGCCTGTGGTTCCTGATGAAGGCTCTGAGCAAAGTCTGCCCATCTGGCATGTCAGGCAGCAAAGAGCATAAATAATGCAGATAGAGCTCCTATTTGTTAGTCTCTGAGTTGTGCCAGACCCTGGGGTAACCACTTGATCTATAATTTCTCACCTACTTCTTACAACAGTGACATAAGTTGGCTTTAGAAGGAGGAAACTGACAGTTGGAAAGGCTAAGCCCCTTGTTGAAGCCATTGAAGTTGTGGGTAACAAACTTCTGAAGCAAAGATCAGAGTTCATTCCATGGTCCTGAAGCCAACACCAGGGAATGTGAAGATAGTCTCTTGTTACACTGGACCCAGGCAGTGAAATGCCTCTAGCTTGGCTTCCCTGCTTTATCTCAATTGTTCACAATCAGCTTCCGCTAATGGAAAGTGCCCTTGGAAGTGGGGAGACAGAAAGATAGCAAGCACTTAGACTGACTGGGACAGGCACTGTGCTAGGTACATAGAGCTATGTGCTGTAATTTAGTAGTTAGGCTACCTGAGATAGGTACTATTACCTCCAGATTTCAGATGAGATAATGGAAGAAAAGTTAGGTTTCCTGTCAATACCACACAGTTAGCATGCAGCAGAACTAAGCTTGAACCTGAGTATTTAAGGCCTACTACAGTCAGCATGAGAGGAGAATAAACACTGGAAACACTTTCATTCTTGTTCCTCTGGCTTCCAGAGAGGAAATGACAGCTGGGAAGTGATGGCGGACTGTGGAGATGCCTCTCCACACAGGACAGGAAGCAGGCAAGACCTGCAGCTCTGGGCCAGGGCCTGACTCCAGCTTCCTCATGCACCAGTGAGCCTCAGGCAAAGTCACTGGTACCCTTGGGTCTTGTCCCTAGAAAACCAGTGATATCAGAGCTGCCATCTCTACCTCTCCTGGCTGTGGGGTGTGGTTCTTTGTGAAACACCTTGCAGGGCTTAATAACTTAGATAATAACTTAATTTCCTGACCTTGTGATAATTAGGACAATCACTTAGCCACAGGCCAAAGATTTAAAGCCTACAATCCATATTTTCTCAAAGGGTTCATCTCATTTTTACTTTTTACCATCAAATATCTTTGCTAAGATAAAACACTTACTTGCCCAAGGATATTTTAATGAAAATCATCATAAATAACATTTATTGAGCTTCTACCATAGGCCAAATAGCATGCTAAACTCTCTTTCACATTAACGTAAATAATTGTTAGAAAACTCCCTCTAGGAGGTAGGTTATATCATTAATTCCATTTTTTTTAACTAAAAGGAATGAAAGGACTTGCTCAAGTATTATTAAGAGTAAGGTCTGTCTAACTCAATCAAGGCCTCTTTCTTACATGGGCTGTCCTTTGTCCTCACAAGGAATCTACAAGCAAAACTAATATCAGTTATTGGGAGTGAATACCGATGACTGGAAGATGAGATCTAACAAATCTATCCAAAGTCCTTCCCAGTGGTTCTGTTGTCTCCTTTTTCAGAACCAACTAAAGAATACTCAGAAGTCTCATCCAAAGTTATACCTGCTTTCTCTAAGGCTGAGGAATTTCATCAGGGATTAACAGTGCAAGGCACGGTTATAGACCTACCATAAATTAGCTTTGCAGCCACATAATGAACAATACAAGCCTGCGTAGCTTTAAGAGGACCATTTATTATATTGCTATAAACAGAGCTATATAAAAAGAATGATTCCCAAGACTCTGCACATCTGTGCTCAAAATCAAGTCTTTCCAGGAGCTTTGCAAACAAGGATAAAAGTCCAATGCAAACTGCCAGTTCTCCTTTTAACGGGGAAAGGTAATTCAAACTATCCCAGAGGCATAAATGCTGTGGGGAATTCATTTTTGCCAAAGGTCTCAACCATCTTTCCTCATCAAAACCAGACTGCTAATCCACAACATAATGAGCTAATTTGAGCTTGCCTTTGTTTTAAACAGTGTGGAGCGGTAAAGGCAATGATTTAGGGTGAAAATGCAATAGTTGGAGACACTATCCCTTTTTAACTATGTCCCGGGGGAGAACTACTTAAAGGTTCTCAGAGCTTGGGCTTCATTATCAGTTTATTTCTCTGTTTGTGTTTGGTTCTGACCTCTCTAATGCCTTTTTCCTACTAAGGCAGGGCCTTTCTTGTCTCTTTATCCTCTCTGTTTAAACATATACAGCATATAAATGTAGGTGGCCAATCAGCACTCACTGGTCAATGTGTTATCTACACTGGTGAAATGGCAATGGCGACTCTTCCCACAGGGACTTTGAATGGACTACATGAGACATTAGATGTGAACACAAACTCCTGGCTACCAGTACTGTGGCAGGCTAGTTATGTAATCATAGGATATTTACAAACAGAACAATGCCAACAATATTATTTATGTGTTTAAATTTGTGGGAATCAGATAGACAATCAAGAGCACAGTCAATCATGTGCCCATTCATTCACTCATTCATCCAACAATATTTACTGAGCTAGATGTGATGGGTCAGGGCTATGTAGGTAAAGTCTTGGAGCTATAGTCAAGAGTAGATATGCTTACTTCCTGCCCCCACCCCCATCCCATGGAGGCTACCATCTAATAGAACTCCCTCTACCTGACTAGAAAGGCATCAGATGTGGAGTCAGATCCAAAGAACCCCCAAAATCCCATTGAATTTACACTTCATTCTGAGGAATGATATCACTGTTGTGATACCCTTACCCCAAACCCCTGCCATCAGAGGTGTGTGTGTGTGTGTGTGTGTGTGTGTGTGTGTGTGTGTGTTTGTGTGAGAGAGAGAGAGAAGGGGTGGAGGGAGGGAGAGAGAGAGAGAGAGACAGACAGACAGACAGAGAAATCTCAGTGAAACCCATCTGTGATGATAGGTACTACTGTCAATATTCATAGGGATACTTTGTCACAGTTTAAATATGAAATATTTAAAGATTCCTGTCAGGGGGTTGGTGGTCCCCAGATCATGGTGCTGTGTGGGGAGGTTCTGGAAACTTTAGGAAGTAGGACCTGGTTGCTGGAGGAAGTAGGTTGCTGAGACTGCTCTCTGTCTGTCTGTCTCTTCTTCCTGTCCACCATAAGATAAAGAAGCTCCTTACCATATACTCCCTCTGCCATGACATTCTGCCTGAGTTCATGGGGCTAAGCATCTGTGGGCAGAACCTCTAAATGGTGAGCCAAAACAAACCATTTCTTTCAGTTGTTCTCTCAAGTATTATACTTACAACTGGGCAGACTTAACTAACACAGTCCTGTTTTGAATCTCAAGGCTATACAATGTGAGGATGCAATTTTTGAATCCTCTTCCCACCTAAGAGGAGTATCATCAAAGCTAGAGGTCTGGAGAGGAAGAAGAGCAATAGGAGGAATGGGAATCCATCCATTGACTGACAGCAGGGTCACACCACTGTTCAGGACAGGATAGGTAACATGACATGGGGTGTACAATAACCTTCCACCCTCAACCCCACACTGTGATCTTCTCCCCACACTTACCAATAGAACAATCATGTCCAGTCCAGCTAGGGTCACAGTTGCAGAGCCCGGTGTCTGGAAGGAAGGTCCCATGACCTGAGCACTGGTCCAGGCATGTGGCTCTGGGTGTCTCACAGTTGGTGCCTCCCCATCCCACAGAGCAGTGGCACTCGCCTCTTACACAGACACCCCGGCCCGAACAAGTGGGGTCCATGCAGTCCACTGTGATAGGAAATGAAGAGAGTATAGGTGAGCATCTGAGCAGTAGGCAAGGGTTCATGGACCAGCATGCTGCTGGTCTCCTACCAGCTGTGGTAAGGGATCCTGGGACTGATGCAATGAGTTCTCGGAGCAATCTAGAAAGAGGAAAGCGTGGGTAGCACTGCGGGCTGCCTCAGCTGGGCCTGAATGACATGTCTTTTAGACACTCATGGATCCGTTCTCTTAATGACTCCAGAAGGCTGCAATAAGGAAATTGAGACTCAGGGAGTAAATAAATTTGTGTCAGTTACAGAGGCAAACTTTGCCAGAGAGGAATTCCTCTCCCCTTCAACATTCTTAGGGTAGCAAAATACATATAACATAGATGTACCCTTCTGTCCATTGCTAATACAGTTCAGTGCTACCAAGGACATTCATACTCGGGGGATGATGGGAATACAACGGTCACCAACATCTCCAGAACTCTGCTTACCTTGCAAAGATGAAATGCTATACCAGAGAACTCCTGAGTTCTCTCTCCCTCAAGCCCTAGCAACTACCATACTACAGTCACTGAATCTGACCACTCCAGGTACCTCGTGTAAGTGGAGTCATGCAGTCTTCTTATTTTATGTGTGTGTGTGTGTGTGTGTGTGTGTGTGAGAGAGAGAGAGAGAGAGAGAGAGAGAGAGAGAGAGAGAGAACGAGAGAGAGACTTGTTTATTTTACTTAGCTTAATATTCTTGAAGTTCACCACAGTTTTGTGGCATATGCCTACATTTATTTCCTTTGTAAGGCTGAGTAATATTCCACATCCTGTATAGATCACATTTTATTTAAGCATTCATTCATGTGCTAGATTATGAAACAAAATGACTACATTTGTTGCTTCTACTTGGTGGCTATTGAGAGTAATGCTGCCATAAGCATGGATATATGAATATATTTTAAAGACTTTGTTATTAAGTTCATGCCCAAATTAGGATCTATTAATCATGTTATAATGTACTTTTTTTCTTTTTTGCAGTTCTGGGGTTGAGTGCCTTGTAATGATTAGGCAAGTGCTGTACCATCTGAGATACACCTCTAGCTTTTTACTTGATATTATTTTTCAGATTATGTCTCATGCTTTTTGCCAATGCTGTTGGCAGAGTGGATTATGATTTTTTTAACTTATGACTTCTGCACTGATATTACATACAAACATAACCTACCATCCTGAACTTGTTGCTTGAGATGAGGTCTTGTTAGCTTTTTGCCTCCATTGACTTCAAACTCTGGTCCTCCTATCTCTTACTCCCAAGTAATTGGGATTACAGGAATATGCTACACACTTGGTCTAGTTTTACTTTTTTTTTTTTGAGGAACAATTACACTATTTCCCATAGTAGTTCTACTATTTTACATTTCTACTAAGAGCATATGAGGGTTTCGATCTGAAAACAGGTATACTTGCTTCCAAAGTCAATAGCACTTTCCAAATCAAAGCTTTAGCTATGAGATGACAACAAATTGCCAGAGATCTCTAATATTCCTCAAAGCACTGGATAGAAAAAGTGGTAAGTTTAGAAGGTAGCACAGAAGACAAAATTGGAGAAGGAAGTTGGTTATGAGCCGGGTGCCTGTGGTTCATGCCTATAATCCTAGCTACTCAGGAGTCTGAGATGTGAGGATTGCAGTTTGAAGCTAGCTGGGGCAGGAAAGTCTGTGAGACTCTTATCTCCAATAAATTACTGAAAAGAGCCAGAAGTGGTGCTGTGGCTCACGTGGTAGAACACTTGACTTGAGCAAAAGCAGTTCAGGGACAGCGTCCAGGACCAGCGTTCAAGCCTCAGGACTAGAAAAAAAAATTGTAATGAGCCTCTGTCATGCTAGGAAGGTATACTGTTCCTTTTGTTGCTAGGAGAGGACAGAAAATCCTGGAGGGTCCCAACATGGAGCTGCTGGAGAAAAAACAGGTGGCACTCAGTGAGTCAGATTCCTTGTGGGAACTCAGGAGGTAATGCTGGGTTGCAAAGAACACAGCCTTCATCCTCTGGGTTATAGAGTCAAGGGTAAAGAGAAAATGCCCTGGCTCTGTCTTCATGGTCAGGTTACAGAGCTACTGTGTAGCAATTGCTAAAAGCATAGCATTGATCACAACAGTTAACTAATGTACTTACTCATCTCTGGTGCAATTTGCTGTTAAGCATTTAATCTACTATCACCTTTAATCCTAGCAGTGTATGTATGAAATAGCTGGTATAATTACCAGATTTTGAAGAACAGAGAGGTTCAATAGCTTGCCCAAAGTCACACAGTAACACATGAAGGAATTTTACATTTGACTCTTGTTTTCTGGCAGAGTCTTTCTGCTATTTTCTCTTAAGCAGAGGTGTGATTCAAGGGTTAAAGTGACAGCTTTGAGTGAAAAATCTAAACAAGAGTGAGAGGCCTTGAGTTTAAGGCCCAATAATGGCACACACATACACACAAAGTGACTTGCTTTAAATATAGAAATATAGAAATCAAAACAAAACACAGAAAGAAACGGAAATATGCAGAATTAATAAACCCAAAGGAAAGCAAAAGCTCTCGTCTTGCAGTCCCTAGATACCATTTAGTCATGGTTAAGACATGACCTGTTGGCGGGCCTAGATATTAAAAAAACACTAAAAGTAACAACAGTGATAAATTCTTATGATCTGTCTCTAATCTCAGAATCTCAGAAGGATTATTCTGGTCCATTAGACGACGATGATAATTCCCTAGATCCAGACAGCTTTCTAATCTGACAGGAAACAACTCAGCAATTGCTACTTCAAGGCCTAGCAAGGATATTTCGTGTCTTGTGAATGCCTGGCCCACCGTTTTGGGGGAGCTGGTCTGGATAAACTAGGGTGCCCTCACACTATTGCACTATTGGCAAGCAGACCAGGAGAGTTCCGAGTTTATTTAGCAAGAGGTCTGGGTGTCACAGCCCTGCTCTTCCCCAGACCTAATACGTCTGATAGGAACTTCAAAAGGCAGATGTTCCAAGTAGGAACCAGAGATCAGTGCATGGTTGATGACAGACCACCTCTAGGCAATGTTTTTTGCTTCTGCAAGCCAATAGGCACAGCGAGTGTGCAGCAGGAAGGAAGTTTTAAAGAGGGCCTGACAAATAGTAGGAAGAACAGAACACTTTCTAGACTTGTTAAGTTTCCCATGGGGTCACATTTGTCCTGAACCCTGATCCTAGACCCAAGGCCGTTATCTATACTACAATGATGCCCTGTTAAAGAAGTCATGGGCACACTGAATCTGTTCTTTCCTGAGCCTCTGGGATCCCTAAGATGAGACCCAGGCAATCTTCCCTCACACTAGGACATCCTCACAGAGATTATTTCCCAGGGAGCATTGGGTAAGAACAGGAAAAACCCACGTGGGGAGTATAGGGTGGAGAAAAAGGGTGTCAGGAATCTGATGGTGGTTTTGAAGAGACTCTAACCTCGTCTGTTTTTAGAGGCTTGCCAAAGTGACATTTTTCTCTCTTGTAGAACTTGCCAGTCAAGCCAAAATTCCCACCAGAAGCTTAATCTGTTCATGAAACAAGATCTGCATGACCCAGACAGAAGCACCACCTTTTCCTCCACCAATGGTCCATGCTTCAGTGACCACATGAGCTATTCCACACTCTCAGGACCAAGAACATTCTCCAGAACCAAGAATGTTCTCTTCTGCCCCTCCTCTCATCCCTAAAAACATCCTGCTGGCTGAGTTCAAGCTTTCAAAAAAAATATATGGGATAATAAACTTCAGAAGGAAGAGAGAAAAAAAAGTAAGCCTGTTAGCTGATGGTTTTTAAACACAGAAAACTTGTTAGCTGAAGGAGGAGGAAGAATCAGATAAGGATAAAGGAGGAAGAAGAAGGAGAAGAGGAGGAGGAAGAGGAACAGGAGAAAGAGAAGAGGAACAGGAAGGAGAAAGAGGAGGGAAGAAGAGGAGGAGGGACACAGGAGAAGTAGGGGAGGAGGAGGCGCACCCCAAGAAAGCCCTAATATACTCACAGGACTATGCACAGATAGTGGGGAACAAAAAGAATACAAGGGAAGCAGTTCCAGATGGCCTTCCTCAGAAGAGAGAGCTAGGGTAAAAACATTTCTTTTCAAATAGACAATATAAATCAAAGTTCTCAAAAACAGTGTTTTTTTTTTTCCTTTCTGTAAATAACCCTGAAGCTCTAGAGTGCTATCCGGTGCTGGCCTGCCTTGAGACAGATACTTCTCTTTCCCTGGCCTGCACAAATTAGGTGGATCTAGGGTAGGACAGCCACCATGTAAGTAGTCTGCTCTTTGCTTCCATACTCTTGTCAGAGTCTCCACTCCTAGGGACCAAAATGAATGGTTCCCAGTCTCTGGAGAAGAGGGTCGGGCTCCTTTGTTCCCAGGCTGCTGCTTTTCTTCTCTCTACCAGACCCCAGCTGCCAGGGTTGCAGTCAGGACTCCCAGCCCTGTTCAGGAATACATGCAGCCCAGACACTGATTCCTCTTCACCATGCTACTAAATACCAAATATATGGAAGCCATCCTTGGAGTCTCTTATAGGGGAAGAGTCCAGTCCTGGAAGGTGAACATGAGGTAAAAGGAACTTCATGCCATTGTCCATAAAAGGCAAGTCCATACACTTCAAATGTTCCTGGATGAGATGTGCTTCTGTCATCCCCAGAATAATATTAATACCATGAGAGCACCACCTATGAAGAAGCATTTACTAGGTGTCAGACACTGAGCTAAGTGTGCTGTGCCTGGGCCATTTAATTGATCTTTAAGATGATTCTCTGAGGAAAGCATTCCCATTGTCTAGTGGAGGGAACTGAGGCCATACAGTGAGAGTCAGGACTGAAGCATATGTATAACTCCAATATGTTCCCCCTTAAACACTGTGCTATCTTGTTTGTGAATGAGGTTCTGTTCTCATCTTCCTGGGTTCCTGCAGTCTAGAAAAAAGTGTATTGGCCTGCCAGGGAGAAGATCCAGGCCTTGTTCCAGCCCTGTTTTTGTTCTTCATGCCTGGGCATGTTATTGTCCTTCATGGGCTTCGGTTTCTTCATTTGTGAAACAGAAGCACTCATCTGTCACACCTGGTCACATAGTGCGTGTGTGTGTGTGTGTGTGTGTATGCATTTGCACGTGAATACATGTGTGCATGCATGCCATACCTGGGGCTTGAACTTAAGCTCAGGGTATGGGCACTATCCCTGAGCTTTCTTGCTCAAGGCTAGTGCTCTACCACATAAGCCACAGCTCAACTTCCAGTTTTCTGATGGCTAATTGGAGATAAAAGTCTCATAGACTTTTCTGTCTGGACTAGCTTTGAACTATGATCTTCAGATCTCAGCCTCTAGAGTAGCTAAGATTACAGGTGTGTGCCACCAGCACCTGGCCTGGTCATGTTAAAAAAAAAAAAAAGAACTAATGTCACTGTTAAGTTGGGTTATATTCTATCCTTCACCTATACAGACATGTATTTATACTATCAAGGCGAGAGGCACGTGTATAAGGACTGAACACACACACTTATCCCTCACAAATGTAGTAAAGGTAGACAGAGTGCAGAAGCCTACAGTAGAAGGCCAGCTGCTGGTGGCTCACGCCTGTAATCCTAGCTACTCAGGAGGCTGAGATCTGAGGATCATGGTTCAAAGCTAGCAGAGGCAGGAAAGTCTGTGAGACTCATCTCCAAATAACCATCAGAAAACCGGAAGTGGAGCTGGGGCTCAAAGTGGCAGATTGCTAGCCTTGAGTGAAAAAGCTCATGGCCAAGGCCCAGGCCCTAAAGTTCAAGCCCCATGATGGACAACAACAAAAAAGTCTACAATAGAGTCAGACTTCAGAAGTAGAGATGGAAAATGAGCAGATGAGCTGGAAAGCAAAGGGTATTGGAAAGAGAGAACTTCATCTAGGAAGCCAGAATGGCTAGGCTCAACCCCAGCTCTGCCATGAAGGACTCAAGTGAATTTGGACAAGTCATCCAACTCTGTGAGTCTCAGTTTCTCCTCCCATAAAGTATAGATGACCACTCATCCCTAAGGGTATATGACATTAAATAATCCTTACATATGGTAACTGCTCATGAGTAACAACTTTGGTGTCGTTGGTGGGCCAGAACTATGATATGTTAGGTCAGTTACTGTTTCATGCCTTCTTGGCACAGAGTTGGGGTCCCAGGTGGGCAGGAGTCTTTCCCTGCTCTCTGGGTGCCCACAGGACACTGGGCACTAGCCTCCATCCTAGAGACTGCCATCTGCAAGCCTTACCTTCCTCACAGCTCTCGCCCTTGTAGCCGGGGTTACAGATGCAGGTGCCCATGATGCAGGTGCCATGGCTGCTGCAGGCCACATCGATGCACTGGCTGGTAGGCACATCACACTCGGCACCCTTCCAGCCGCTGTGGCACAGGCACCTGCCCTTCATGTACTGGCCATTCCCGCTGCACAGCACAGGGCAGGAGGCTGGGGACAGAGCACCAGAAGCCGGGCATGAGTCATCGCCTAGCATCCCTCAGCTACTTTTGTCCCCTTCTTCCCTAGCTTGTCTGGCTTGACCCACAGCCTCAACAGCTTTGCCACAAACACCCATCACCTGCTTGTCTTGCTTTCTCTTGTGTGAGTTTAAACACATCTGGAACTAGAGATGAAAATACGCAGTGCAGGGCCCAGCCTCGCCATGGCACTAGTTGGGGTCCTGTGCATGCTGCTTCCTGCATTCCCACCCTCATTCCTATCTCTGATGAGAACCAGAGTCTCAAAAGAGGAAGCTGCTGACTGTTTCTTGTTCTCCCTGGAAAAGAGCGGCTGGGCCCATTGACTGGCTTGCCTCCTTCCTCCAGTACTCTCCTCCTGATGGCACTCCAGCTCTCTTCCCCACACCTCCTCTAAGGCTCTGCTGACTGTTGTCTTTAACCCTGCAAGTCTCCTTTGTCTTCTAGGCCTCCACTCTAGCCCCATATACCATCTTCTCTCAGGAGAAGAGCTGAGCCTCCCTAACTTGGCTCTTCATTATCTTGCCATTCTGCCTCTTAGTGTAGAGGGTTTTGTGATCATCCCCATGAAGGACACTATATAAAAATAAATTCTACTGCATCGTGCTGGAAGTACTTGCCTGTCTTACTTAGATACAATAAGGCTGTTTTATACATGACTCTTAACTTTAAGTGCATATGGGATGAGACAGTAATTCTTGTTAGAAGGAATGACTCATCTCTCTCTATACCACCTTCCCTGGCCCCCACCTGGCTTCTTTCCTTTTTAAAGCACTCAGCAGATAATCACAGTGCCTCCCAGGGCTGCCAGCTTCACTTCCTCAAATGGAGTCTATTTCACATTAGCTAAAATAAGCAGAATCCCCAGAGCAGTCTCATAGCATTGGATTTACAGGCAGCTGTTCCCTCAGCCTTGGAACCATGTCTGCCTTCCGCTTACAAACAACCTCAGGACTCCAGACCAATGCCGCCACATCTGGAAAGCCTTCCTGAGTGGGTTCTTGGCCCTTCCATACCAAGGCTTCCATGTTTGACCTTGTCAGTTATCACGGTACTGCTTTACAGTTGTCTCCTTCTCCCAGAATAGATGGAAAGCTCCCATGACTGGTTCTTGCTCTGTGGTATAACCCCAGCCCCCAACTGAGGAGGGAGTCCCACATGGGCCTGAAGCAAATGGCTACTGAGTGAGTGAGTGAATGGATGGAGAAACTGAAAGAAGAGGTCCTTCTGGTTCCCAAGGGAAAGGTCAAATTCTCAGGTCCCTGTCCTGGCATCTTTCTGGAGAAACTCTGCCTGCTCCTCAGGCTTCTCATTCACAGGCCCAAGAGAAGTCACACTGATGTGAAGAGACTCTTCAAAAGATTCTTGGCCACGGCTGGCCACTGGGAAATCAACTGCCACTTCGTATGTCCCAGCAAGGGACACCAGATTCCCCTGTGACAACCCTTCAGGTTGTCCATAAGTGAATAACAATGGCTGACAGGCTCCAGCTCTACCTGTGAGTGTCCTTTAACAGGCTTCTGAAATAGGGCCCTCAGAAACCTTTCTTGGGCACATCAGGAAGGTGGGCCCACATTTCTGCACTTGCTGGGAGCAGTGAACCCCAAGCTGCCTAGGGGGTCTTGGAAGTAGAGATTCTAAGTCTCATGTGAGTACTTACCTCGGCCGCAGTCTGGGCCCAGAAAGCCCAGGAAGCAGTGACAGGTCCCCGAGATGCAGTCTCCATTGCCATAGCAATTGCTGGGGCAGTTATCCACCGATTCTGGGGAGAAAGGATGGGAAGAACAGACAACTTGAAACTGCTTTACCCAACTGAGAGCCCAGAATCAAGCCTTGGATTAAGCAAGACCACAGAGTAGAACTCTTTGGGTCTAGTCACCTAAAAGGGCCAGTAACTTATAAATTGTATTAATTTTTACTCTTATTGAAGTACAACTCAAGTCACAAATGCCTACCTGATCCAAATCTTTCTAAATCAAATGTATCTCCAGGCATCTGTTAGGTCTACTGCCAAAAAAAAAAAAAAAAAAAAAAATTGGGAAAAAGAGTTTGGCTTGGAATAGAGGTTATCTTGGGATGATGTGATCCTGGGTGATGCTTATAGACTTCTTACATTGTTTGTAAAGCTGATTGATAGGCCCTTTTCTGTAAAGGATCCTTCCCCAGCTCTGATTTTCCATATATCCATTCAGGTCCTCATGGTCCCTCACTGGGGCTGCTGGGATAGCCAGTGAGTGGCTCTTCAGTATTCTGCCTTGATTCCCACCCTGACTTACCACCTAATTAATCTCTGAGACAGGAACTTGATTGTATCTTTCCTGTTTAAAAACCTTCCATGGAGCTGGGCACTGTGGTTCACACCTGAAATCTTAGCTATTCAGGAGGCTGAGATCTGAGGATCGTGGTTTGAAGCTGGCTGGGACAGCAAAGTCCATCAGACTCTTATCTCCAATTAACCATCAAAAAGCAGGAAATGCAGCTGTGGCTCAAGAGGTAGAATGCTAGCTTTGAGCATTAAAGTTCAGGGACAGTGCCCGGGCCCCGAGTTAGAGCCCCACAACCAGCACCAAAAAACAAAAACAAAACCATACACAAAAAAAAAACAAAAATAAAACAAAACACAACACTCCCTCAAAAAAAACCTACCACTTTAAAAAAGTATCAATATTTTCTTCTCTGTCCTCCTTGTGTTCCCAGAATCTTCTGCTATGCCCACCTTTTGTGGAAATACTACCTTCTCTAACTACTCCCTAAGACCTTGGTATATGCACTGTGAGATAGGTCAAAGAAACAGAATCCCTGTCAGAAAGAATTTGATAAAAATGTTGGACATGTTTTGTTGCTCCAGTTAGTAAGCTCATAAAGTTGACTTATTTAGACTATTTCATTTCTCAACAAAAAAGAATGAAACCAGGAAGCAAGTTTACGCAGAATGCCTTTTGTGGCCTGGATTTCCACTTACCTATCTCATTTCATGGTCACCAAATCCAACAAATAAACATCTATTATCATTCCTTATTTTTTTTTAAAAAAAAAAAAGAGGCAGCATGGAAAGATAAAGTGAGTTGGCTAAAGGCTGAAGATACCAAGGCAGGATTTGAACCTAGGTCCTTGGACTGCAAGCCAATCTCTTTCTATGACACTATGCTATCTATCTAGGCTTGCAGGGACTCATCCCACAGCAGAGGCCAGGAGAATGAGCAAGGTAAGGGATAAGGAGTCTAACTCTAAACCCAGCAAAGGAGCCAGTGGAGGGACAGAGCATTCTAGAACTTTCAGAGCTTGCAAGCTCCAAGGGCCCAATGTTCTCGTTCAACAGAGAAGGAAAATTAAGACCCAGAGTCCAGGCAGTGACTTCCCCCATTCACAAGAGTAGTCAGTAGAGCTAGACTTCAGGCAGAAGGAAAGGTCAATCAGGCAGGGAGAGTTCAGGAGTCAATCTGTTGTTTTACTTAACAGCTGTCAATCATGAAGCCAAGACTGAGGCCATGTTGAAGGAGATGTTACCATTGAAGAAGCAAGCCTCACCTAGAAGAAATGTGCAGCCTCACTAAGAGAACAAGATACCAAGATGAAGATGCCCTGTCACCTGTGCTGCAGTTTGGAACAAAGAAAAATACTCTATCTAGAGGTAAGGGAACCTGAACTCAGGTTCCATTCTTTTTTTTTTTTTTTTTTGGGTCCGGTCATGGGGCCTGAACTCTGGGCCTGGGCCTCAGCTCTTCAGCTCAAGACTAGCACTCTACCACTTGAGCCACAGTGCCACTTCCGGCTTTTTTTCTTTTTGCTTATGTGGTGCTGGGGAATCGAACCCAGGGCCTCAGGCATGCAAGGCAAGCGCTCTACCACTGAGCCACCTTCCCAGCCCATCAGGTTCCATTCTTGTAGTATCATGCTACATGCTTTCTTTTCTCTGGAATTTAGCTTCATCATCTGTAAAATGGAGATGATGACAGAGATGATTCCCTGGGCCAAGTTCCTGTTCTGCAATTTACTATGGGTCTATAATTAACTATGAGGTCAACTGAGGGGGCCTGACCTTGAGACTCAAACACTGAAGGGAATCCGTTCGATGGCAGCTGGAAAGGGGCAGAATGGAGGGGGTGATGAAGAGCAGGGTGGCATTGAAGAAAGGGTTTCCCACCAAAGTATTCTGGTACCATCTTGGAAATGATTTGAAAAGTTCAGAAACATAATACGATGGTGGGGGGGAGGGCTTCGTTTTAACAAGTCCATTTATACATCCAATGCTCCTTGGTCATAAGTACCCCTCTTCCTCTCTTCCTCTTTTCCCTTCCCAAACCAGTCTCTTCAAGTTGCTTTGTTCTATTTCCATGCAAGAATATAAAGTATTTTGTCTATATTCATCTTCTTTCCCCATCCTCATGTGTCTGCCCCCTCTTCCGTGAATGCCAATATTCCAGACAAGAAGTGTTTCAACTCCCTAATTGTTTCTTTTTTGTTAAAATGTGCCTCCTTTTCGAGTGGGTAATTCCACTTCCATAATGCTGTGACTCCACTAACACAACAAGTGTGAAACACTAATACAGAGTTGAGGACAAGAACGTCTTGTCCAACTCTTGGCCTCATTTCTGGGTAAATGGTCTGGGTCCTGGCAGAACATGGATCACAGGCCAGAGTATTTTTTACTCTCCAATGGCTTTGGAATTCATGTTCTATAGTGTATAAATCACGCAGTGGCTTCCTAAGTGCCATCTTTATTGTAAAAAAGAAAAAAAATATTCTAGAAGTTTTAAGTATTCTTTCTCAAAAGGAGAATTTTTTTCCAAGTATTTCTTTATTAAGTGACTACATATGTTTCACAATACTGTGGCATAGTTATATTTAGCTAAGGTCACAAACACATTTTAACCTTCACAGTGATAATCATCATCATCTTAATCTACAAAGTTTATGAACGCTATGAGCTTTAACAATGAGACTCTTTCTTCCAAATTGGGTGATAGGTACTTTTCTTTCCTTTTGCTTAGTATCAGCTGTTCCCTCTTTCTCTCTCATTCCCTCCCTCCCATCACTGCCCTTGAGTTGCTTACTCATTTTCATCAATGTCCAGTGCAGCTGATGGGCCCCTCTGCTTTATTTTGTCACCTGCTTTCCACTGATTCTGTGCCTTCCTCCCAAGTAAGGTTTAAGGCAGATTCTTTTTTTCCTTAGGCTACTGGTTAACCTTGCAGTGACAGAGCTGTCTCACCTGCCAGGCTGCAGGGAGCACAGGACAGAGAGGCAGACAAAAGCCTTCTCTGCCAGGTGTCTTTCTGTTCCTGAGTGACTGTGGCCTGAATTATGTCACTGGATTTCTCAGCATGTGGTTCATCATCACCTCCTTCAGTCCCTAACTGGTAACCTCCGTTCCTTCTTTTCATCCAGTTCAAAAGCTATCACCTTCTGGCAATGGAAGCAGGCTCTTACTCCTGGAGTTCATTCCTCTTGTCCCTATGGAAGTACCATACAGTTGACTTGGTTGACCATGAACCCCTTGAGGACAGAAACTAATATGATCCAGTTATGCACTTATCCTGGTATCCAGTACATAGAGGGGTTGCAGTCATTATTAACTGTGATCACTACTGGAAACCAACTAAGAATGAAAAAGGGGAAATAAAATAAAAGAGGGGAAATATCAAAATAGTTGTGAAAAATGAAACAATGAAACTTGTTGACATGGATTTGGAAAATGGAGTGGAGAGAGAAGGGAGAATGACAGAGGGGTGAATCTAATCAAAGCACGTTGTATGAATATATGGGCATGTCAAAATGAAACCCAGGGCACAGCTAATTGATGTGAAAAATGCAGGGGGAAAAGAAGTAAATTAGATGGCTTCACAGGCTCCAACTATTCAGTCCTTCTTAAACCCAATAGTATAAAAGACGTCTCCTAAAAAGAATCCCTCCATGAAGAAATAAAAATGGTGAAGAAACACATGAGGAAATGTTCATCATCCCTGGTGGTGAAGGAAATGCAAATAAAGACAACCCTGAGATACCACCTTACCCCAGTCAGAATGTCCCACATCCACAAATCAGCCAACGACAAATGCTGGAGGGGATGTGGAGAAAGAGGAACCCTATTACACTGCTGGTGGGAATGTACACTTATACAACCACTTTGGAAACAAGCCGGAAGGGCCCTAAAAAACCAAAAAATGAACCCCCCTAAGACCCAGTCATACCACTTCTAGGCATCTACCCTGAACAACAGGAACCAATATACAAGGACACGTGCATCTCCATGTTTATTGCAGCACTGTTCGCAATAGCTAGGATATGGAAACAACCTAGATGCCCCACCACAGATGAATGGATCCAAAAATTGTGGTATCTATACACAATGGAATATTATGCAGCCATTAGAAATGACAAAATTATGGCATTTGCAGGGAAATGGATGGAGCTAGAAGGAATCATGTTGAGCGAGGTAAGCCAAGAACGAAGAGACAAATGGTACATGGTCTCCCTGATAAGTGGATGCTAAATCCAAAATGTTAGGTGATATGACAAAACTAACAGGACTTAAGAAACAAAGAACTCCCACTCATCTGGTTGAACCACTACTAAATATCCCCATGCTGCTGATCACATATATGGTATATAACATGTGAGCACCGTTATATATTACAGACTGTGATAGACAATTTGCTCCAGGAAAGGTAGAATGAACTTGTGACTTTAAATGAGCATCATTATTCCACAATACTGTGAATTTCCGGAAATTATGTAATCACTTAATCACAATCAAAAAAA